TTTGCGCCGGAATTGTTCTTTAAACTTCCAGCCAGCATGATGACGTAATTCAAAGTTTTAAAAATGATTTAGCCATGTGCAGGTACCGCAGACCTGCTTCATCCACTGGACTTGCCATCTCTTCCAGTTTCTTGACCTTCTCTGTGTCTCCTCCCTCTTTCATTTTCTTAATCAGGAAGTCCAAGCAGACATGAGTGGACAATGAATTAACAATTAAGGCAGTCTGCTCCAGTTGGAGAACATGCTGGTAGGACTCTTCCACCAACTGTGCTTTCTCTGCTTCCAGGTCTCCGGTTATCTTTTTGAGGTTCTCCAGTAAGTTTACTGTCTTCTCCCTTCCTTCCTTATTTGCTTCATACTTCTCTTTCATTTCCTTTTTGGTCTTTTTAACTTTTGTTGTCTTGTTCTTATATCTCCACTTATCTTTGACGTGATCTGATACAGGACACTTCCTGGTACATACTGTGCAACAATCTTTTTTCATGACCTTGCACTGACTGGGATTCCAAGCCATTGTGCATCCAGGATAGTGACAGTTCTCTTCACAGACAGTACAACAGACAGCTCCTGAAAAAAAAAAAACACATCCCACCATTAATATGTTCTTTATCTTTGTAGGGCTCATCAACTTCTAAAGTGTAATTCTTGTTGCTCTTCATCTCTTGTTCATTTTTCTTCAGAGCCTCTTGTGTCTGCTGGATCGCCATCTGTTGTAGTTCAATCAACTCAATTCGGTCTTGCAGGTTTTGGATACAGGCCTTCAGTCTAATCCGCTCATTCAGGACTTGTAGAGTTTTTTGCAGTTTTTGAGATTTTGTTTCCATGACAAAATCTGTGCACTTATTCATTCCATTCATTGTCACTTTATATGAATTATCTTCTTCCTCATCTGTTCATCCTAGCAGTTGTCAAACAGGAAGTAAACAGGCTGATGCTCCTTAGTTTTTGCACACCTAATGTTTGCTGCCTTGAGGGCTTGAAGGACATTTTTAGGGTGTTTTCCATTTGAGTGTGTGATAAGGGCCATAATGTGTTTCTCCATATCTTTGCCAAAAAGAGACACCACTGAATCAAAGATGTACTTCAGTCGGTCACTCAGTCGATTCACTGTTGCCTTCAGCACAAGACCCACCACATTAATTTCATAAACTCCATTCTCTGAGCGGATTAAGTCATATAACCTGTCACTGATGACTGCGTCATGTTCAATCCCAGAGCTGTGTCCGAACCCAGGTGTATCGATAAGATCTCATAAACGATCACATCTGATGTCTGACTCTCTGACTGACTTGTCTTCTCATCCTCTACGTTCTTGCCTTCAACCAACTCAAACCATACTTTGTCCTCCCATTTTACACCCATGGTGTAATTGACTAGAGTGTTGATTAGAGTAGACTTCCCTGCTCCTGTCTCACCAACAAGTAAGATGGTTTTGTTTATCTTGTTGTGATCTTTTATACCAAAGGTCATTCTTCGTAGAGTTCCAAAATACTCTGTCTTTGTTATTAGTTGGTACCTTAAGGGACATTCAGATGGGATTGGGTTACTTCTGGAGATTATGTCCTCATATTTTGATGAAGTATTAGTATTCCTGTGGAAAAGTAAAGAGATTCACTCAACAATGATTTTGACTTTGTAAAGCCTCTTATTATTACAAACTGATTGCTAGTCAGTGGTCCCATTTACACTTATCCTTTCATCTGGATAAAATCAAATGTGATTTAATCAGATTTTCTGATCCTGTGGCCTGATGTAGTAACACTTGGCAGGAGTAAAGATTCCATATGCGACTTGGGGAGAAGGATGTATTTACACTTATGGCTAGAATTGGATTTCAGTTTGACTCAAATACTTAACGTTTTGGATGTCTGATTGCTCTTCGATTTGCCCAAAACTCATGAAGTGAAAGAGTATACATGTGCTGAACGTTTATAACTAAATTAAATTTAATATAAAATGTCCCATTGCTGATGTTATTAAAAGTTGTCAGGCTATTGTCTGAATAGTTTCAAAAGTTAAGTACAAATATTTTCAGAAAAAGATTCGACTTGGCAACGGGAGATATTTCTAGTCTGCACAACTCATAGAACCACTGAGCTCAGCTACAAGCCAGAAAGCTCACATTATACTAGCAAGATAAAGTCAATAACACTGCGTACTGTTAACAAACTGTTAAGAAAATGTAATTTGACAGTATAGAAATGTACAGAGACAGTTCTACTGGAATAACTCAGTGGGTGTCCTGTATCACAAACGACACTCTCGAGCCAATAAAAAAAAATCAGTATTCACCCAGACCATGGTATAAATAGGAATAACCTATAATTTAGTGGTTGATATTGTTACTCACGTTGCCATGGTGATGTCTGGTACAGAGAGCTTTGCAAAGTCAGGACAGAAAAAAGATCCAACCAAAAGATTTCTATTTCTGGACAAAGTGTTATGTGTGGTTGCTGCCCGCCTCTCCCTGGATGTCCGAGGAACTTGCTGCAGCTTGTCTGCAGGGGTAACTGATACGTTGCTACCAGGTTATCAAGCTGGCACCAGGCTGGTACTTATTTGCAGAGCTTGACAAGTGGTGCTTGCTCACTGCTGGAAGAGGGAAAAAGAAAAAAGTTAAAGAACAAAAAAA